TAAAAAAAAAAAAAAAAAAAAAAAAAAAAAAAAAAAACCGGCCGGCCGGCCGAACCGGACGGACCGGTTCCGACCGGCCGTCGTTTCCGGACGGCTTTCTTGCCGTCCGGCCGGCCGGTCCGGACAGCAACGGTCCGTCCGGCCGTGCTTTCCGGCCGGTATCACTCGTCGTCCGGCCGGCCGGTCCGGACGGCTTTTAGTCCGTCCGGTTCCGGCGTCCGGACGGCTTTTAGCCCGTCCGGAACCGGCGACCGTACACGTATTTTTTCGTACCTCCGAATTTGACGACATTTCACCGTACACTTTCCTCTGAGATGTTTAGAAAAAATGAGAAGGGCAAAATTGTCCAAGGGGGGCGGTGACTAGTAAAATGGGGGGCGGTGAATAACAACACCCATATTATATCTTTGATAGTTTTGTCATATACATACATATATATATAGTAGTAAAACAAAACAATGTATATAATTTTTATGTGAAACAATTTACTGCAAATCGATCTATCATATATTTTTAATAAAAATACATATGCGTACTTTGAAACGTTATATCTTTGTTTGCTATTATTTTTCAAAGTATAAATTCAGATGGAATATATTTACATATATTAAAAAAAATTATAATTGTCTGATCATTAAACCTGTCTTCGTGAACAATATAAAATTTCCTCATAGAATAACTTTTCCTACCTTACTAGTGTGCGCTTGCCAACTAACGACGGACCTACATTGGGTTATATATATATAGTTATATACATAGTTATATAGAAATAAAAAATACTATAAACTATGAATAAAAATATAAAAAACATGTAGAATATATAAATAATTAAAATCTATTTTCAATGCTATTTTAATTTAAAATAATAATATTATTTATTTATTAAAAAATATACTAACAATCTTTATATTTTACATTTCTAGATATATTTTTGAAAATGATATAATAATTTACTCTTCCGGCCTCTTAATTGTAAATCAATTTAATGATTTATAAAAACTAGAATTTAGTTGGACTGTTAGATTTTTGAATGTTAATCGATCGAATATTGAATGTTGATTTTTTACTTTTTTTATGTAATCACATATTTTCAACTTTATTTATTTTTTTATTAATAAAATGGTCATTTAATAAATTCTCATCAACAAAAAATGTTATGCAATGTGTTGCAAAAGTTCAATGTAAATCAATTTTTGAACAAAAAAACTTATTTTTTTCCATAAATTATAGATCTTAAACTTAAATTATAAAAGTCCCAAACAAGTCAGGGTAGGCTAGAGATGAAACTCAAGAGCAACAATGGGAAGAGAAACACAAAAAGGGCTCGAAACAAAAGGAAGGGGTTGGAACAAAAACAGAAAAGAGCAAAAGTCACGGTTCTGGCACGTGGATTGCTAGCCTCCAAGTGCTCCTATCCACCGCTAAATCCTTGGAGATATTCTAATCTTTAAGGTCTCTCTTAACCGACTCTCCCAAAGTGAGTTTAGGCCGACATCTACCTCTCTTTACATCATCGACCCGCTGTAGAACTCCCCTATGCACCGGTGCATCCGGAGGCCTCCGTTGGACATGTCCGAACCACCTCAGCCGATGTTGGACCAATTTCTCCTCAATTGGAGCTACCCCGACCCTATCTCGAATATCCGTATCACCTCAGCTGGTGATACGGATTCTAAGTTTTTAAAAATTTGATGATACACTGTATTTCTAAGTAAACATAACTTTATATGAAATGCGCGTTTTTACTTAAACTATAAACTCGTTATTTAACATTTAAAATTGGACCCCCTGAGTGAAAATCCTGGCTCCGTCATTGTTGCCAACACATGAATACTATCTACAAAATATGAGCATGTTTACAAATGCATTTCTCATACATATCCATTAAGACATTAAAAATTAACAACCAATATGAAATATTATCAATCGGAAACTTATAAACGATACAAAATAAAAACAAAAACGAAAGAAACAAAGCCAAATCTAAAACTAGCTCCACTCATTTAAACCTCCACAGTTGCGCTGATCAGAACCCATGCTACCTTGAAGTCTATTTAGTCAAAACCCATTGCAAATTTTGCTTATATTAAAATAAAAAATTATTTATTATTTATATATTAAAATAAAAAATTAATCATTACCTACTCAATTTTTTTACACGTCTAAACTTAAACGGGTCGAAACCCGGGTATGCACTTGAAGTTGATCACCTGTCAACACGCTTTTAGAAACCCAAGAGAAGAAAAATGACCCAAGTCCATCACAAATCTAGGTCAAAATTCAAAAAAGTAACCTACTTTTCTCATAAAAACAATCATTTCTCCATGAGGTCCAATTTTTTTTTTTTTTTTNTTTTTCTTTCGAGCCTTTTCCTGCAATTGATCGATTTGGTTTTTGTTTTTATTATCAGATTCCAATGAAGAAAACGATAAGCAAATAGTCAAAGGGGCAAATGGGTCCCCTCATCATATTTTGATCGGCAAATAGCCGTGGCTATTATACAAGTCACATTGGCAGAATTCAAAAAAGATCTTATGGTCAAATGCCCAACAATTGATATTAGTTATTAACAACACAATGCATGTTATCTAATTACCCAGTTTGTTTGCATAGTTTGTTTGTAAAAGACATAAAGAATCAAGCAACAAATCTTATTAGGAAATCTAAATCAATCGGTTAGTAAGAATAAACTTATAACGATTAATATCAACCTTGAAAAAGCATATAACCATGTATTTAATTTTACCTCACTGCTGCAAAACAATTTATCCAATTTGATTAACAGTAGAAAAAAATATAGCCCTTTTTATGGTGTAAAAAAACAATTTCTGTTTGTTTACTTTAGCCACTGGGAAGAAATACAACACAAAATACCTACTTTTCTAAGAAAAGTAAAAAGGAAAAATCATTAGACAATGTCTTAAAAATAAAACTATATATATCTAGACTTTCTTCCTACTTTGCAATATTAACCAAAAGTGAGAATTTACTTGAACTAAATAAACTGTCTGCAAGTGCACAGCATTATATTATGTGTATTACCACTCCAAAATAAGAATTTAGAACAACTGGGCAAGCTCAAAGCAGACTGACACGAACATCGATCAAACAAAGATTACAAGAAAAAGTACGAATTACAACGTTACAGCAAAAAAAAGATCGAGTTCAATATTAAGTTCTGATAAGTTAGTGAAAAAAATTAAAGGGCATGAAGCAGGGCAGTCTAGGCAAATACTTTCTTCAGCAAGAAAAACACCTGAAAATCTGAACTCGATCTACTGAATATTGATTTCTCTTGGCAAAACAAAATATCAAATGGCCACGACATGTGAAAATTGAATACTCGAGCAAAATTGATAACCTCATGATTGGGAAGTTGTAGCAGCTTGCCTTTGTTTACGTTGATGTACGTCCCAGTTATAAACTCGAGCAATAGTAACCTGTGACCAAACCATAAAGTCAATGCTATGTATAAGCTGCAAGCTAAAAATACGACATAACACAAATGGGAAGCAATTATTAAATTTCGGTAATGACTTTTCTTATCCTTCAAAATTCACATTACCTGAGTAATTGTTACTTGGTCCCTTAAGAACTGTAAATCAGCAACAAGGACTTCTAAACTTGCTTTGGCATTCTCCAGATTCTTTTGAAGAAGGGTAGTTGCCTGGAGAAAGAAATTGCAGGAAATCACAAGAGTTAATCGAGTCTAAAAAATAAACAATAATAATTGTACCTCTTCACATGAATATTCCAGCATGACATTTGCCCCAAGCCAAAGACAAACGGATTCTGCATCTTCAACACGAGCCCGGGAATATATGCCTTCCGACACTTCAAAATCAGCAACAATTGCCTGCAAATGAACACCATGGAATAAAAATAAGGAGATATCAAATATAATACTAACACAAAATGGAAGAAAAACACACAAAATCCAAACGTCCATGGTGAAATTGTTATACAGAAAAGAAGAAAAAAAAAAGGAAAAAAAAAACACTGAGTTACTGTAACATGTTATGGGATAGATTGTAATTTTGACACATGGCTTGGTTTTTTTTCACCAATTGGATTTAAGCATTTTCCTCTTTAATAATGTTTTGCATAATTTGCAATATAGAAACAGAGAGAATAAATGGTCTTGTTTAGTAATCTTCGTTGTTGGGGGCTAAACTAGAACCTCTTATTTAATCGTTTGGTAAGTAGCAGATTGAAATAACTTTTTGGATCTAAAAGGCAAATTACGAAAGAATTAAAAACAAAAGCTTATAGGAATGGAGAATTGGAAAAGTAGTAGGTTTTTATACATCAAACAGTTAATTATTTGCCAAACACTTAGCACAATCAGCAGTTAAGTCAAAAATAGTTAATTCAATTTGCTATCAAGTTATCTGTTATCCGCTAAATGCCAGTCGTACTTCACAAGCATGTCGACAGGCGGTAAGCATTAGCAATGGTACTGCAAAAACTCAACACCAAAGCTTGAAGAAGATCTATTGTCATGACACATAGAATATTCTTAACAGTCAATCTTTGCAAATGATGTGTCCAGATGTAACAAATCCAACAAAAGACGAAAAGCAAGAAGGTGAGTATGATATTCTGTCAAAAAGTTTTTAAAGTTTTATGAACAAACCTCACCAGTGCCCTTCTTTGCTTGCAAAGTTGCAACAACATCTAAGCACTTCTCGATATCAGGAATTTTCGCCTGTTGTTAAAACCATCCAGAAAATGACGGTCACATTTATCATCTCAAGGAATTTGATCTTTTCAATGCAGGCTTATAATCGTCATGCAGGTGCAAAGTGCAAATTTTAGATAAAGTGTTAATTTTCTCTCACACGCTTACCCGTTGGGTCAAAACAGAGTTGGAAATTACACAAGCAAAGAACACCAAATCCTCAACCCAAAAGAACACCTATTCATTAGTGGAAACAAAAAATGAATATGAAAAGCTTGAAAAAACCAGAATACCTGAAGATCCCTCTGCTGGGCAAGAAGTTTCATCTCCACAACTCTGTATTGCTGAAGTCTGCAAAACATTGAAGATATAAAGTTATAAGGAAAATATCAAAGAAATAAATGTGTAGACTATAGAGTATAGACCACATTAACAGGTATTGGGATGTAGTTAAAGCTTGGACCTTTCCCAGTAATCACGTAAGATCAGAAAATCAATGATCAACAATGAACTTGTAACTAGAGAAACTAATGAGACACAACTAAGAACTTAAACCGGAAGCACGGTCTAATTACATCAACATAATTCAACAGAAAAGAGTACTAAACCATCTGAAATCCCTCAAACTTTTCCACATACAATAAATCTACAAACTACAAACCACAATTAGAAGTGCCAAGATGTAGTAAAGCTTGAACCTTTGCTGATAATCCTACAACATCAGCCAAACAAAGCACTAAGAACAACATAGAAATTAGTTATACATCAATTTCTCAACCCATCTCCAATTTTACAACAAAAAAGTAGACATCAAAACCCCCTCAACTAAATTCAGCAAGAACCCACTTCATCCATCAAAAAAACGAAGCTTTGCCAACAATAAATTTAAATGTTCAGCCAAAATGTAAATCTAGACAATAATAAAGCAAACAACCCAGTGATCTAAACTTCAGGCAGTATCATATGCCGGATAAACTACGTAGAATAAATCTAGAGAAAGGTATGAAAGAAGGGGAAAAAAAAAAAGGACCTTTCTTGTAAAAAAGCGAGGGCTGAGTTTACATCAAGATTCAACTGAGAAAGGTAGGTCTGCACATCTTCAACAAACGCCGCTGCCGGAATCCCTCTTCTCTCCGTCACGCTTGCTGACGTGGACATCTCCGCCGTCGATTGGTGCAGTTAGATTCAGCGAAGCGTGTGTGTCCTCTCCGTTTGTCGACCCTTTTGAGGTTTTTGGTTCTACTCTCTCTCTCCCGATTGGAGTCGAGTTGAGTCGAGTCAAGTCGAGCCCAATTGAACAACTTGACTCGTTTTAATAAGTGAACTTCATAAATTGTTTGAACAATTGAACCTAAATTGTAACTGTTAGCTATTTTACATTTTTACTAAGTTTTTTGAACCAAAAATTGTAATAATACGTTGTTCAAAGTAAAATTATACATAAAATATTTATAAATGAGTCATAAACCAAAAAATAATATAATTTAGAAACAAAGATATAAATACACTACAATCAATCATTCATATATTAATAAGTTAGCTTATTTTCAATTAAAAAGATCTTGGTAAATACACAAATAAAATAGGATTTGGAAGTGATCGTTTAATTTTCTCTTGGGACGATTGGATATGGATTATACCGGTTATAGTCTAACTTGGTGAGTTAAAGTGAGTTCTTTTGAATAAAATTTTTTAGAATTAAATAATATTTAAAATGTCATGATTAAAGTTGTTACGATGTAAAAATATGAGAGAGTTTATAGGACGTGATATGTAGTTATAATTATTTGAGTCGATGAATAGTAAATTAAAATTGACGTAAAAATGATTAATTGATATTACTTGATTATATTTATAGAAAGTAAGAGAGTTAGGTTGGGTTGAATTTTGAACTAGCTGATTAGATACAGGGACGGAAGCAGACTCGCGAAATTAAAGGGGTACGAACGTAATTTTTACACAATAAAAATGTAAAATTAAAAATGATAATCATTCTCCACATGTTCTCATATATTATATATATCCTCCATAATCACATTATTTCTAATCTTATTAAATAAATCTTTCTCATATATCAACATTTTTTTTTTGCACTAGATATTTTTTTCAATGTCACCATTGGTGGACTTCTATTTACAATATTTCTTCACAAAATTTAAAAAACATTTTAGTATAAAAATCAATGACAAATACAATTTAGTAGCTAATTTATAATTATACTTTTAAGAACGCCTAAAATATAATATGTATCAAAACGAATAATAAGAGTTCAAAAACAATAACTAGAGTTTAGAAATCTTAATTAAGTTGACTTTACATAAAAGTTGTGAAAGCTCTAAAGATCACATTTTTTTTGTTTTAATTCTTAAATATAGTAGAAGATTACATAGAGTTAAAATATAATTTATTAATAGATATAACACAATTTGAGTAGAAATTAAAAAACTGCTCAAAGATGGAATTGTAAAAGAATTGATGTGATATTCCCAGTCTTAGAAGAGTTGCCACATTTTTATTTAATTAAGAGTTAATTATATACAAAATTTGGAGAAAATAAATAGTTTACTTAATAAATAATTTAACGTATTTTTTTACAATACAAGTGTATATGCATAAATTTTTTTTTTTTCTACAAGGGCATGTGCTTCTATAAGCCCCTCCCTAGGTCCACCCCTGATTAGATATGAAACGACTCAACAGGTAATAAACAGTTGAGTTACATCAAAACTCATATCCAATCATGCCGTTGTTATTTTTTGTTTGAAAGTAACAAACATTTTTCTCCCTCCAGAAAAGAAATCCCCAAATTTCTTCCATCATGCCCTAGCCGCTCCTCCTTCTTGAGTGAGCCTCTCCTCCGGCGGCCCTAGGGCTTGCAATCTCAGCCAACATCTGGCTCGCCTAGGGATTGGCGGCGCGGCTATGGCAAATTCTTGTCTCCTTCTCTCCGAAGTGGGTTTCTCTCATCCCGATTGCCATGACGGACGAGTAGCAACGGAATGCGCCGGCGGCTGTGTTCCGGCTGACGTTGCGAGCTTCCTTGCGAAGGTCAGTGACGCCAGTCTAGCCTTGGTTCCCCCCTCTTCCGGCCTTTCCTGGTGTTGGGAAGGTGCGGTCCTCCGGCGGCAGTTGCTAGGTTGCACAGCGGCTCTGGTGTTTGCGTGGAGGGTACTGTGGAGTGGACCAGCCTGGGTGTGTCTGTGAAGTTCCAAGGGTGGTTGTAAGGATTTTTTTACCCAAAAAACAAAATTATAAGTTAACTGGACAAAAACAAAATAAAAAAAAAAAAAAAGTTGTGGAAATCAATCAAAAGCACGTATTCTCTAAATACGTTTTTTCATGTAATTTACCTTAAAAAACGTATTCTTTTTCATTGAAAAATGTATGTTGAAAATACGTTTTTCAATGAAATTTATAAAGAAAACGTATTCTGAGAATACTAGTTTTTTATTTTGGTCCAGATTTTTTTTTGCTTTTATTTGTGTCCACTTGTTTTTTTGTTTTATTTTTTATATAAATTACCCTGGTTGTAAGAGCTGCGGTCTGGAGCTAGTTAGACCATTAGGAGAGTTCCTGGTTCTATTGTGTTTGGGCTGTAGTTCTCGTGCCTTTTTCTCGTTCGCGCTTGGATGTTAGCTTGGATTGTTTGGGCGCTAGGTGTTCTTGTCAGATGGGGAGGGCTTTAGTTTAGGTTATATTGTATTAGCTGTTTCTGTGTTGTCTCTGTGTTTTTTGTTCTTTTTTTTAGTTGTCAGTTTTTGTTTTGGGTTGTGTTTTATTCTCCTGTTGGGAGATGTTGTATACTTCTGTTGGGAGCCTTTTGTCGTTTGTAGTTAGTTTTGTTGTTCCTTGGTTTTAGGCTGCCTCGGGCTTGTCGTCTATGGAGTTAGTCTTCCCAACTAGATTCAACTGAGTTGCTGATTTATTCGGCGGTTTAGTTGTTTTATAGTTTGTAATTATGTGTTTTTCCTTAATTGAAATCTATCGTTTGACAAACAAAAAAATAAAAAATAAAAAATAAAAATCATGCCATTGACAAAGGGTTACTTCATGATAACATGAGCTACTTATTATTTGGGCCGATTTCGTGGTTTGATCAAAAGTGGGATGCTTCATTATAATATGGGCTTATCATTTGGGCAAATATTCAACATACAATAATTATAAACTAATACATAGGCCTTATCTTATCCGCCTTTGGGCCTTGAATCATTTCCTCATAGTCACTTCCACAAGTATGATGGGTAAGTAAGACGTGAAAATATTTTTTTTTTGCCAGAACGATAGAGGTGATATATATAGCAACTGAATAAATGATTCGAATACAAGAGGAACAAACCTACTGAAAAGAAAAACTGAGAGATGCTACACAAAGCATCTAGAACGTCAACAACTGACAGACTAAAAATAAGACAAACTAAACAAGAAGTGCATCTCTCCACTGCCATAAGGCCTAGCTAGAACACACCACTTTCAAACAAAAAGAACTGAAATAACTATAAGCTAAACACAGAGCAAAGAAGCCTAACAAGAAGAGGGAACATCACAGGATCCTGCAGATAATGAAGCTTCCAACCAATCCTTGTGCGCAGCAGAAATCACTATGTGCTCAGGCATGAGAGAGCTCTTGAATATCTAGAGATATTTCTTTTTCTGTTTTTTTATTAATCTTATCAATTTTTCTTAATAGATGGTTGGCTACAAAAGGATTTTTTTTTAGTGAACGTATCACAGTACGAGATTTCCATAACCACCAAAGCAAGTAGGTGGATAGTTGAATCCTAGCTTGAACAACATCGTTTTGTTTAATGGAGCTAACCTGCTGCCACCATGATTTGAATGATATGGTAAAATGTTGTAAGCCATCCCAGTTGACTGGTGCTGCTTCCTAAATCCTACTTGCTCTTGGGCATGAAAATAGAATGTGTTCAATGGTCTCTGGCTGTTCATCACAAATAGAGCAAATGGCACAAATGTCAATCCCTTTCTTTCTCAAATTGACAACAGTTGGCAATGTTCCAGAAATGCATTTCTAGAGGAAATGTTTGATTTTATTTTGAATCTTCATCTGCCAGAATCTCTGATACATTTGTTGAGGAGGAAAAGGACTGGAATTTGACTTTGGAATGTCCATCTACAAGAGCTTCTGGTCAATCAGAAACTTATAGGTGCTAGCAACTGTGAAGGTGCCTTTTGGTTGCAATCCCCAATACAGCCTGTCAGGTCTAGCTGGGTTCAGGGATTTGATGTTGAGGATTGCTACACTGTCCTCAGAGTCAAAGACTTGCTTTACCAACCAGCTATTCCATTCACTTCCATTAGATTGTAGCAGGTCCTTCACCCAAATTAAGTGTCCCCTTGCTATCTCCAACAATGAAGGATGAGGCTTTTTCAAATTTGGCACCCAATTCAGATCCTCAATCCTTGTGGAGTGGCCATTTCTGATTTTTGTTCTCACACAATTAACAAAGGTAGGCATCACTAAGAGCCAGCTATTCCATAGCCAAGACCCCTTTTGAGTCCTTTCTGCCTTGAAAATGGATTCATTGGGGAAGTATCTGTCTTTGAGTATCTTGCTAACAAGTAGCTCAGGATTTGAGGTGATTCTCCAAAGTTGCTTGCAGATTAATGCCTCATTGAACAGACTGAGATCATGAAATCCCAAGCCTCCCTTGAGTTTTGGTAGAGTGAGTCTTTCCCATTTCCTCCAAGGATGTGAAAATATTAATTTGCCCAAGTGTACAAATATCTTTATTTCTTTTGTATCATTATTATGCTTTAATAATTATATGTTTTTGGACTGTAAATCAAATGGTTGATAAGATAAGATTAAACTGGATTTTAAATCAGTTGAAACTATGACATTAGACTTGGATGCGGAGCTTAATTTTTACCAGGACCTACATATAGATGCGAGTTATATAGAAAACGGTTTTAGTGCAAAAATTGTACGAGTCATATATAATGCTACATTTAATTGTGTACAGTACTACAGTGCTAAGCGATTACTATTTATATGTTCTTTTAAGTTTTAGTCCCTAAACTATAAATAATAATAAGACTAAAAATCATTCTTTTCACAGGCCTATATCTTCCTCTTATCTTATTTCTCTTATCTATAAAAAAGAGGGGTGAGCCTCCAAGCCTGACACATGTATACCTTAAATAGCCGACATGTGTTCAATTTAGCTTAAAAAAGACATTGTTTAGATTACATTTAACTTTAATTTAAAATGAGTCCTTTTACTTCCACTAAAAACTGAGGCGGATGTCTCGAGAATTCTCTCAGACTCTCAGTTCTTATTTTCCCAAACCCTAAGTAGACTGCACACCGTTCAGCTTCTTTCGCCGCCGTCGCCGCAGCACTCGCAGAAAACGATTCTTCTCGACACTACCACACCCTATTCGAGCGATGATGGTAATGATTAAACTTTGACGAACCGTTGGTCGAGAATCTCAACAAGTGCAGAATCAGGCTCTATCAACATAGAACCTCACCAGCCTTCCATACAAAAATTGACATAGGTGTTATTTCCCAAATAATCGGGAAAAAATCGAAGTTACTCGCCATTGATCATTTCACCGTTCGTATCAGAATCTTTTGATTGTTTAATACTGACCATGTTTCTGGTCAAGGTAAGAAATTTATGGCCCTTTACTTTGTTCTGTGGGTTATCTACAATTCAACGTTATATCGTCTCTGTTCACTTTTCTATTTTTCCGTGTTCTTTTACTGATGTTGGTGCCAGACATGGAGATAAATATCATTTGTGTTGTATGGCTACAAGAATTTCACCAAATTTGGTTTTATGTCCCATGTGATTAATATCACACACAAGTACGCAACACACACAGACAATGCACGGTGATTTTCAGCACACAGTAGTAGTAGCAGCCCTATACATGGACATCGAATCAAACAGTGTAATCAAAGAAAAAAGACTTGTTCATGGCGGCGGAGTCCAACGGGATCTCGGTTTCAGCAGCTCCTCAAAACGAGCTCACTCCGAATTCCGAAACGAATATGGCCGCTCTCTCACACGTTGCCATATCGCCCTCATAGCCCGAGGTCCACTCCATTAGTTACCTTCTCAGTACAGTTGAATTTCAACTGTTTGAACTTCCAACTCCTTTAATTTGTGAAAATTTATGCTTCTTTGTGTTATGGTGAGGTCAATTTTGTAGTGTTCTTAAAACCCTGAGTCAGTCGGCATGTTTCTTTTCACTTTTTATGTTTTGGCTCTGTTTGATAGCATGGTGGTTGCTGTTGTATTGTGACGTGTTCTTTTTGCATTTAGTTTCATCTGTAAGTTGTTGAAATTTGTTAATTTTCATATATGAATTGTGCCTGTGGATGGATTAGGTGGTGGGAATTCTATTGGCTGCTGATCCATCGGTTGTGAATAGTTGCAATAAAGAAGGTTGTGGTCCCCTGCAGTCAGCCTGTGGCTGCCCCCATAATTTCCATAAAAAACAGCCCGACGACGAGCATCCTGGCCGCCACCCCAAGTGCTCTTGTGCCAACAACAGTGATAGAAGGCACCGCCAGAATCTGTCCTCTAAGCAGCCGAACCTCCGACACCACTTCGCCCCTCCACTTTACTTTTATTGCTCGGTAATTGTTATATTTGTTTCTCTTTTTTATGTGGATGAATTAAGAACTGGTTGACGAAGCTCTTATAACTGTTGTAGGTTTGTGCATGATGCATAGTCAGACTACTTATTCTTCATCAGCAAATATGTTCTCCTCTTTCTGTGGCAACATCGATTCTGAGAGAAATTCTACATGAATTATCAGAACACGAAAAAAAAAAGATGGAGCTAATGGTAATGCCAGATGAATAGTTCAAGATTTTAAGAAGGATTTTAAAGTTTGTAGGGTCCGTCTAGGCATCTGTATGCAATAATGCCGACAAGGTATTAGTGAAAAGAAAAATGTTAATGACTTTGTTGCTGCAATAGTAGATGTTGCGAAGAAAGAAGGCCACCAAGTTGACAGCGTATCTCTCGAGGTCTCGCTGTTGTCAGCTGTGGTTGATAACAACTGATAACGCTCAGGCAGTTTGGTCAGTTGGTTTTGTTTGTAGTTTGGTGAATATGATTTGGTTGTCTTTGATGATGTTGGCTTCAAATAAAAAGCTAACTATTTGTTTACTTTCAAAAACAATAATAATAATGATTTTAGAACTCAAGGATTTCCTGAAACTGTCAGTGGCAAACCCTTTAGAGAAGTTATTGTAATTTTTGTGTCTTTCTCAGGACTTCTATGATTGAAGTTGTGATATAAATTGTGAGGAATTGTGTGCTAATTCCATCTTCTTATTTCTTTAATGAATTAATCTGTAGAATACTTAGATTATTGCAGGATGTGAAGTCTAATAAAAGTTCCTTCAGAATTTGTTTGATATATACACACTTTCTAATGCATCAGCAAAGGACAAAGGTCTCATGAGATCAATGGATGCTATAAGAAGATAAAAGTAGGCACATCCTTTCTTTTACCTTTCATTACCTTTATTTTTCTTGCATGCAGCGAATACCTTTCATGGGATCATATCTCTGATGCATAAAGTCCTCTGTCTTGAGTGAAAATCCTTTGAGTCATATATAGTAATAATCAAAATAACAGTGTATGCATATATAGTAGAAATGTTTGCTCTTCATTGGTCTTCAATCCTGCATATTTTGTGTTCCCGTGTAAATTGTTGAATGAGACTTATGACGTTACCTCCTTCAGAAGTTGTAGTGGCTCGTGTGAAATTGAATGCCATGTATCCAGTGGAAATTCTTCAATTGACTCACAAGATTCTGTGGTTGGTTTTGTAGCTTTCTCAATAGAAAAGTACACTTCATGCTCACATTCAATGATTATCTACTTGCTTGACACTACAGCTTGGTTCTATGTAAGTTTTGTTCCTTTCAAATAAAGAGCACCAAATATTATTTGAACTTCGCTATTTCCAGGTCAAATTTATACTGCTTGCTGAGTCTTCAATGCTACAAGACTCCAATCTATGTCGGTGGGAGATATGTTAAGGTTCATTTACTTTTCTGGTACCAGGGAGTACAAATTGCTAGCGCTATGTCACGAATCTTTGGTATAGGTTCTCTTTTCTATGTTTTGCTCTGCATTTTTTGTGGTGCATCATGAAATAGTTAAGTATCTTCTGTTTCTAAAGTGTTTTGGATGTAACTTATATCTTTATATATTATTTCTTTTGTTATTTTTTTTAAAATCAGTCCCAGAACGGTGTGTGTTATTGTATTTTAGCATATATGGTGATGTGTATCCTCTTATTTTGGTAAACCAATAGTGATAGTTTGACAGTTTGACCTCATGATATAATTGTACATGTTGGTTGTAGGATTTACTTGTTGCGGTTGATGAGGAAGATATGTTAACTTGACTGTTGTCGTCAAGGAATTTGATAGTATGACTCAACTTGAAACTGAATCTATTTTTATTTAGTATGTCTTTATTGTTAATATGCTGCAGATTTCAACTAACCTCCTCACGTTTATGTATTGTAGGTTGATACTTTTTGGAACGTGTGGCCATGAGTTAGTTGAACATGGGCGGATACGCAGAAGAGTGCTAAGTTTTCAAAAACAATTTTCTTTTCTATTCATTATCCTTCATGTTTATGTAGGTATTGTAGATAGTAAAAAATACTTACTTTCTGATTTTGATTGTTAATTAATTTTTTTTCTCTCTCAGACACTTTCCAGTCAAGTTCCGGAAGTAGAAACTTTAACCAAATTTCTTTAAGTATGTTGTTTTAAATACATAAACTCCATGAATTTTTTAAATCTAAAAATTTATACTCAATTCACATGACATTGATAATATATAAAATGATATACGCTTATAGTGGGCCGGCTGTGCTGTGCACAGCTGAAGGCTGTCTAGTAGTACATATAAGAAAAATCATGAGGGCTTTAGGACGTGACACGTGTCATTTTTTTGGGAAAAAAAGTGCCCTGCGTTTGGCCTCTTTTTACACTGCTACCCTCAGTTTCACATGGCATGAGTGGAACGACAAAACTTTTTACTATTTTCTTTTTAAGTTTCTGCTCACGTTTTCCCAAAAGTCAAAAAGCAGCCCGAAAACATAGATTTTGCACGTCCCCTTGTCTCCCTCATTTCCCTTTCTCTCTTTCTCTATCCTCTGCAAAAATTCTCTCCCTCAGATCTTGAAAAAAAAAAACCCAACTTTTTTTCGAAAGCCAAAAGAACAAGGCGGCGACAAAGTTACGGACGACGGTCGACCGATGACAGTGCAAGGAGCAGCTGCCACGGCAAAAGGGCGGCGAGATCTGCGAGGCAAGTCGACGACATATCCAACGGCAAGAAGAGTTGCTACGAGAATCTGACCTCGCGTCGGGGGTGATAGATTACTCAGGGTTCTGGCGGTCAACGATGGTGGCACGACTAAGAGGATGGAGACGATCGGAGTTCGGTGCAGCATCAGACGTAGAATACAAGACCGGTCGGGACACCAGAGTAAATTCAACCTCTTTCTCCTTCTTTCTTTTCATAGAAATGTGAAATTTGCTTGCGGGTTATGTTAAAGTTCCCATCTTTGTTTAAAATGTGTTCAAAAGATGAGTTCTTCAATGAAAAATTCTGCTGAGCCGTGCGATCGTTGATTTGATCTCCGTGAATTGAGAAGGAAGGGCAAGACATTACATGCCATAGAACGAAAGACTTTCGGCGGATTGCAGCTCAATTCACGGAGATCAACTTGCATATAATATCATCAGTGACGGAGGTGTATTGGGCCCAGGGGAGTCCATGGGCCCCCTTCATTTTTTTAAATCAATATATATATATATATAAATATAAAAAATACAATAAAATATGTATAAAAATGTAAAAAAATATTTACAATGTATTAATAATTAAAACTTATTTTTATGTTAATTTAATTTAAATTATTAATATTATTTAGTTATTAAAAAATATTGCAACAATCCTTATATTATACATTTCTAGATAAGATTTTGAAAATATTTATAATAAGCTTTTGAAAATATTTATAATGATTTTCAGTCTTTTAATTGTACATCGATTTAGTAATTTATAAAAGCCAATATATAATTGGATTGTTACATTTTTTAATGTTGGTTTTTTACTCTTTTTTTTTGTGTACTCACATATTTTTAAATTAAGTTATTTTCTTCTTAAAACAATGTTTATTTGGTAAATTAATTTTTATCAACAAAAATGTTGTGCAATGTGCTGCAAAAGTTCAATTTAAATCAAATTTTCAACAAAAAAAGTTATTTTTCCATTAACTATAGATAAAATTTCATATATTTTTTTTTTGTTTATAATCTTTTTAAAAGTTTGAGGGTCATACGGGTTATAATTTTTTTAAAACTTAATGATACACATATCGATATTTATATTTATAGTAAATACATTTTTACATAAAATAAGTGTTTGGACTTAAACTACAAACGCATTATAACATTTAAAATCGGATCCCTGAATTAAATTCCTAGATCATACCATGGGCTAAGAGCATCTCCAATTGCATATAATATCAACTTCAAGTAAATTTATGGATGACTTTATGATCTTTATGAGAAGGAAGGGCAGAGCCCATGGTATGATAATTTATGCCGTCCACTCACTGATCTTATTCCACTGATCGAAAGCGGAGTCAGAGGTGTAACTAGCAACCCAGTGGTAAAATTTCTTTCTCCCGTAATGAAAAGATGCTAATTATACTTTCTTTAGTAGTTCTTTGCCACTTTCAACAATTTTAAATTTCCATATCGCAGATTTTCCAGGAAGCAATATCAACTTCAAGTGCATATAATGATCAGGTAAAAGCATCATATTTGTGTTTTGAAGTGTTTTTGATGCTTCGAAATGGTTTTAGTCATATCAACATCAAGTAGCCTATTATATGATATGTGTTCTGATCTATATTTATATTTCATTTGAAAGTGATCAAGGAAAAAAAAAAAATCCCAAGGAGACTGATTGAGTCTACCAGTCATGAGACACCTGTCTTAACAAATAATTTATGTGTTAACATGATATGTTTTCCATATGTATAATGTTCTTAATTATGGTTAATATATGTACCAATAACTGGGTCTATCCTAATTTTTTTGGTTTCGTCTCAAAATTTCTTTATACTTTTGTACCTGAATTTGGTTGATGGTGTCCAGCTGAGCTGCGGCAATAAGAACATCAATGCGAAGCTGGTTTGTTCTTTGTCCTATTTTCTAATTTTGCATCCCAATCACTCTATAATTTTGTATATTCTTGTTCTGATTTCAATTTTGCATTTGGATTTTTCATGGGCTTCTTGTTTTTTCGTGAATTTTACCAATTTCTGGCCGCAATTATGAAGATCGCATAATTGGTTTTCTAACTTTGTTTTTGACAATAGATTCTGGGTTATAATCAGTTAGACATTCCATTAAAGTTTCGGTGATTGTTGATCGTACCTAATCTGGTTTGGCTGTGAAGATTACAGAATGTGTTTAGTTTCTGCAGTTATTCATTTTCGAGCATTACTGTCGGTACACTCAGCTCTGCTTGATTGTTTCTGGTTTGTGGGGTATGTGGTGTGCCTTTTTTAAGAATAAAATCTTAAAGTTGTTCTCTTTTTTAGATTATAAATATTCTTCTTTTTGTTTGGTTCTTTGTTCGGCTTATTTTGTGAAATTATTTTTCTACACTTAATTGTCTTTATTTTCCGGACGCCTACTCTTTTATCAGTTCTTGTGTCCGAGCCGTAGATTCTTATTCTGTCGGTTGGTGGTATGGATTTTGATGGCTCATATGTGTCGAATACAAGCGAGTGGGAAGCTGCAGTTGTTAGGTGGAGATGCAAGAAATGCCGGCTACAATTGCCTGTTGGTTTTGCCACTGAGGAACTGAAATCAAGTCTACACCGAGGGAGCGGAGGTGATCGATGATGTGCTCGGCGTCGTCATGAAGGAGCCGGAGATTGCCTTCGAGGTTCAAACGTATAGCACAAACCATCAATGCACCTGTAAGTACAAATGCTTGATGCTAGACATACTTCATATTCTTTTTTAGGCGGTTTTTGCTAGGTTTAACAAATATTTGAAAAGAATGAAGGCAATGTGATTTTGTACAATACGCATTTCCAGGTACTTAAACAACTCTTCTGTGAGTGGCCAAACTCGACCAGCTTTTAATGGTATAGGAACTTTATGGATATTGCGTGTTGTGTATTGCCAAGCCTTGCTCTCTTTCACTTGAAATGTAAGATAATTAAATTTCATATTGTGTACTTAGTCATTAAAGTTTCTTTAGTTTAGTTGGGTAATGTTACGAGAAGCATTCATAGAAGAATGGGAGGTGAAACAAACAACACCTGTACCTTTTTCTTATTATTATTGTTACTATTATTTCATTAGTATTCAACGTTTGTTATGAGTTGACACGATTCTCTCTTCACCAGCTTAAAGTTTTTTTGCTTAAACCATTTTAAAAAATGTCAACATGGTTTATCCTCCAAATTTGTTCAAATCAAAGTACTTTTTTTAGGAATGTTCACTTAAGTGACTTGGTGTGTGCTATCAAGAAACCCCAACCAGTGCTGCTCATTGTATTGATATGCCCATTAGATTAAATGGAATGAAGTGCGTGTTATAATTTCCTATTTATGTTTATTATTGTTATTATTTTTATCTCTAAAGACACCATGTTTTCCATTAGTTCACTACAGTATGATGTTCATAGTGACGGAAGTTTTGATCCAGATAATCCTGAAGACATACAGTGCCGTGTGGTGATCTGAGGTGAAGTTTTACGAATATCTTTAGGTGATATCTATTGGATATTTTTCTGAATTTGAATGTTGAATGATGAGGATAAAAATCTTATTTGGTTATGTTGATGGATATACAGGGAATGTGGTTTTCTATGATTGTTCTGTTTCGGTATACAGTTAAAGCTAAACCTCTCTGTGTTCTTGATTCTTTTCAATATTTCCTGCTTTAAGTGTTGGCTATTTTTTTTATTCTAATGTTCACAAGTTTATTTTGTTCCTATCAAGACAGTTTATTTCTTAACTTGGTTAGTGATGTTGGAGCTGTGTAAAAGCACATTGGACTATTTTTATTGCTGCCTATAGTAACATAGTTTCGAGTCTCTGCCTTGAACGGATAAACAAAAGTCAAACCTCGGCAATGATATTTCTTGTAATTAATGTTGACATTTGGTTATTTTTTGTTCATGAATCGTTTTGCTGTGTGAGCAACTCAAATATTTGAAATTTTATGGTTCAGATGCTTAGGATAATTGCTCCACCAATGTTTGTATCTTTACTTTAGCTTTTTCCAGAATTATGTTTTGTGCTCATATTAAAGTTAGCTGCTTAAAACACATTTTTTTAATAGGGGATGCATTTGCAAATTGAATTTAGTTATTGTCCTTCATATGTTTTAAAACATGGTGTCATTGCATTGTTATTGATTAAAAAATTATATTTGCGTTTGAAATTGGTGTACCTAAGAAAGGTTCTTAGTTCATCTCGGGGGGCCATCCCATTCCAGGAAGAAGAAAAGAATGGATTCAAATAGGCCCTCTTCCTCTGCAAAAAAGATTGCCTTCCTTCTCTTGCTGCTGCTATGCCGATTTAAATTAGAGTTGCTTTTGTTGTCGATTCAACCACTAGGTTAGGTGCCGAGACGAGAACCATTGATGCTAGCTCATTCATACTATAGCATCTTAATTGTCTTAGGATTTTATTTTTATTTTTGGTTGTATTGCCTCACATTTTTCACTCTCTATTAACTTGGGATTGTTAATATATTTTTATTTACGCTTTTATAAATTTGTAGACATCTCATCATATTATTGCATTGTTTAGTTCCTTATATATTGTTCTTAAGTTATTTGAAACTATATTTATACATGCCAAAAAAATGGGTATGTGTATTTTTAAATTTTGACAAATATTGGTTATAATTATATACAGGACTAAAGCCGGCTGTGCGTGTACAGTCATCCGGCCAACTAGTGATGTTATAGAAAGATACCAAATATTTATGTATGTCCCTATCACCTTGTCACCATAAGAAATTTCACAAAATTCTTGCTGATAGAGTTTGCATAAACATGAGGTACATAAATAATTAGCCCATTCGTAAAGCAAGATTCCGATATTAGGAGGTAGTTAGCTGGCTAAATTAAAACCCGACCTAAAGATAGGATTAAGGAATAAACATGTCAATCAGGTTTAAGAAGCTATTATATGTAAATCAAAACCATTTAGCACTAAGTGTTGGACATGACCATTGTGCCTCCCTTTATCAATGTGGGGTTAAGTTAAATAGCTGTCTAATCAAATCTTCTGCAGTGAGTAATCTGTATTTGGGCACAAAATGTCCATTTTATTGATGATTTAAGTTGAAGTGACTATCGGGCCAGGTCGGCCCATTAACCAATAGCCCGAACCCGTTGATTCAGGTTCTAAACCAGAACCGAAACTGGGATCGTGTAATACAGGGGCCTATTACGGCTTCCAAGAAAAAAAAAAATTATGATTCGATTTGCTGAACTTGTTCTGTTTATAATTTGAAGTTCAAATTTTGAATTTAAAATTTTAAGATGGTGTTGGGTCCAACGATTATTATTTTTTGTTTACGTCGTGGGAAGTTTAACGACCGAGAATTGGGTCTACCTGGTGGCGGTGGGTTAGCGGGCTAGCTAGATCCAGAATTGACGAGTCGACATTTTAACTTTATATTTTTAATGATGGTGGCTCTGTTGGGCCTGACTCAAGATCGACGATATGTTTGAATTAAAATTGTTACAGTCAAACATCAAAGTTGATTCCAATTCAAAGATTTATAAACTTAGAGCATTTGTAATGCTTTGGGTCTAGTTTTGCCTATGTGGCATGTAAATAAACTCAAGTCTTGGATAACATGGATAAAATAATATAAAATTAATAAAATTTACTCTAATGCAAGAGACTAAGTCTCTACTTGGGTCTAAAGACCGAGTCTTTTTTTCTTGTTGCCACACCAGCAAGACCCAGTCTCTTTGCACTTGCATTGAAGAATATATTTTGTTAGACTACGTCTGTTATGTAGGTGGCATATAACTTTTTTGTTTGAACCCAAAACATTGTGAATGCTCTTATAAGTCGTCAGGTCATGTTCGAACCAAAAGATTGATTCTTGAACCGGATTGCCATACATCAAAGTTGATTGCCATACATGTTTTGATCCAAGTAACTGTTTTTTTTTTCTCTTTTGTTTAAATAAATATTGTGCAATTAACTTTTCAACTTATTTCAACTTAGGATTGTTGTTGAGAAACATAATGATATATAACGTGACATTTATTAGCCAGATTTTACCCGTTACAATGATCATGATGATGTAATACTAGTATTCGGCCTGTACATTTGCACAAATATAAATAAATTATTGTGAGTCTGTATGCATATGATGATTAATTATTTTTCTTTCACTTTTTTGCATACCAAATTTACAATTAAAAGAGTTGTAATATTTTTTTTAAAAATTGCGTTTATCTGATTGGATGTAATGTATATTTTGGTACGTCTTTTATTTGTGAATTATTTATTATTTATTTAGGAATTTCAAATATATTTTTTATTTAAAAAAAATTAAATGTAACAACAATAATAACATCTAATCACATTATACGGTCAACACATTATATGGTCAACTGTCATTAATCAAAAGTTTAAAATGATTTTTGTAATTTTGAAGCGATGAGTATTAATTATTTAATGATTAAATGAAAGATTAAATACATCAAAATGTAACGGTTTTTGGAGGGAAAATTGTTAAATTGCCACATAGGTAAAATTAAATAGGTTTTATTAAATGTTATTAGCTAGTATTATATATACTAGTTTTTGACCCGTGCACATGCACGGAAAAATATACGATAGAAGAAAAAAATAAAAAAAGAAAACAATTGTAAAATTCATAACATGATCGTTGAGAAAAAAATGAACCTATAAAATCTAAATCTAAATATTATTAAACACTTCTTTATATACAACGTTCGTGGTTTTTCTATCGTCAAAATCTCCATCACCACAAATCATTATCTTCAGACCCCTCTGATTCGTGACTCTAGATAGTGCCACATACAACTGTCTATGACTGAATACATGGTTCTTCAATAGTAATCCGACGTGGGACAGTGATTGGCCTTGACTTTTGTTGATAGTCATAGCATATGAGACCATGAGCGGAAATTGTCTACGCTGAAATTTGAACGGTACCCTCAAATCAGATGGTATAATTGTGAGCCTAGGAATAAGAACCTTGTCACCAGCTCTGGCACCGATTAAAATTCTGCATTGGAGGACATGGCTGCTGAGCTTAGTAATAACCAACCGTGTACCTGTTGACATCAAAACTCGGAAAACAAAATCATATCACTAAAAAATGCACAAAGATAAAAGAAAATGTAGATGACAAATTGAATTTTGATGAACAGTACCGTTGCACAACCCCATGGAGTGATCAATATTTATGAGAAGCATCACTGGAGTGCCGACCTTGAGATGGAGTTTATGATTCGGAAGGCCAGAGCACTTGATCCCATTGAGAAACTCAGGAGCGTGAAGATCCTGAAGAGAATCATATCCAACATCTGACTTGCACGGGGTGTCTGAACTCAAGTAAGTCCTTCCCTCGGATGAGTTCAGTGAGCTCATGTACTCGTTAATGGACTCAACCACATCAAGTGTGGGAGCGAGTATGGCTCTGTCCTTCAGATAGCTAAGATCGTCACCTGCATTCCTGAACATGGGGTAGGTACTCTCAACAGTAGTACCAGTAGGATCTCCTTGTAAGTGTAGAACAAAATCGTCGGGGATGTCGATATATATCGGCACAACCGTCGTTCGATTCACCGACTGTACCGTCGCCGATGTTTGCAAGCCACTCAGAGA